GGTTTGCACGGCACGAATTATGATTTCTAAATATAGTTCGTTACCGGGAACACGAAGCTACACATCGAATCAAGTGGAAAAATATATTGAAGAAGACAGCTACGTAGTGTAACCTATCCCAGGAAAATTTGTAAACCATAATTCCAAATACGTGCCCTTGGCAAACATCAGGCTTTTAATGTAACACAAATGTCATTTTTGAATGTCTTACATTGGGTTTTTAAAAATAAAACTTCAAAAAAGAATACAAAGTTATTTGAACTGCAAATTATAAACAAAATAAAATGTGGAATCTTTCAAAACTTCAGAGCCTGTTATATGTTTTCACTCACTAACTATAAAACCGTCAAACTTGGGTGACGTAATAAAGTATCTTTCGACTCAGAGAGTTCAAGCACATTCAGAAAATACCAGCATAGGAGTGGTCATATTCCAGAACTTTGTGGTTTAATAAGGTGCTGTGGACAAGCCGATCAAATAAACACAAAATGTCAGAGTAAATAAGGGCCCGGCATGGCCAGGTGGTTAGGGCGCTCGACTCGTAATCTGCGACTCGCGGGTTCGAATCCCGATCACACCAAACATGCTCGCCCTTTCAGCCGTGGGGGCGTTATAATGTGACGGTCAATCCCACTATTCGTTGGCAAAAGAGTAGCCCAAGAGTTGGCGGTGGGTGGTGATGACTAGCCGCCTTCCCTCTAGTCTTACACTGCTAAATTAGGGACAGCTAGCGCAGATAACCCTCGTGTAGCTTTGCGCGAAATTCATAACAAACCAGAGTAAATAATAATAAAAAAAAACTTCTAGAAACATCGAGTTCAAAAATACAAGATTTTTGTGAATACGTTTCAAACGTAAATAAATGAATTTCTTAAAGAAATATATTTATTTAACGACTTAAAAATAAAATCAAAGCTTAGAAACTAGGAAAATGTTAATTTTTTCTCTTGTGTGAACTGCACTAGTTTAATAAAAACGCAAAAAAAAACAAGTAGTGATTCGCAAGCGCAATAAAATCGGGGAAAAAAAAACCTCTATAAAACTTTAATTAAAGAAACAAAAGAAAAACGGCCAGTTTACGCTTAAAGCTCTATAATTACTGTACAGACCAGATGTCTTTTATTTCGGAGACGGTGATTATTCACAGGATTTACCAACGTTTCTACCAGATATAAGTTGTGTTAATCCCAGTGACACAGCGGGGAGTCTGAAGACTTATAATGTTAAGAACTGAGTTTCGATGCCCGTGGTAGGCACAGCGCAAAAAATAGTCCATTGTGTAGCTTTGTGCTTAAAAACATACAAACAACACAACTTGTGTTACAGCGTTCTTTTGATACACCAGACTCATTTATTAAGGGAGAGGTAGCTTTGTGTGATATAAGTCGGGGGTTCCCAAACTTTCCCAGCCGAAGGTCACCCAGTCCTACTGAGCTCCCCCACCCAATGAATCGGGGATTCCCATACTTTCCCAGCCGAAGGTCATCCAGTCCTACTGAGCTCCCCCACCCAATGAATCTATAGGTTCAGAGTACTTTAATAGTATTGTGTACAGAGTAGGCAAAAAGTCTAGGCACCCCACCCACCCACCCCTTATTTAAAGTTCATGTTAACAGTTTAGTCTTTCACGTTCTAGTAACGAAACAACTGATGTTTTGAAAGGGAATTTAAGGATTGTAGTTGAAAAGTACGATAAGAGAGGAAAAAATTTATAGTTTTGACTGAGAAAATGTAAATAAGCATTAGATGTTGAAGAAATAAGAGAGACAATTCAATATGGAAGCCCAACTATATTGTTTAGTCTAATATAGTTTATTTGTCTCTTGACATCGATAGTGAAACATCGTTTTTGATATTAGGATAAAGTAGTCTGTAAATTATCGCCGATTGTTATTTTTGTGACATTTCGAAAGTCTTATTTGTTTTATATATGATTTGTTTGCTTATTTTAGAGCAAAGCCACATTGGGTTATCCGCTGTGTCCACAGCAGGGAATCGAACCCCGGATTTTAGCGTCTTAAGTTCGTAGACTTACCGCTGTCCCACCAGGGGACTTTTTGTATGGTTATGATAGTTGTTACTTCTTTGAATGTAGGTACATGCACAGGAACTTAAATGTAACTCTTACTGGGTGTGTATGTGTGTGTGTTAACATATACATATATATATATATCTAACATATCAACATACGCTCGTACATCATATGCATTGAAATAAACTGTATTACACTTACCGAAATGACCAAGTCCCTATCCATACAGTTATTGAAGCCCGGGCCCCTGTTTTCTCACTCTGTGCACCCCTGTGGTGCAATGTTTAATACATTACTGTCTATATCATAAAATAAAAACTAACAGTAAATATTAATGTGTACAAACTTAACAAATAGACTGAGATCGTGATGAGACTCACAACAGAGAAGTCGAATAATTAATATGTCAATGAAATCTCATTAAAACACATCGTAAAATATAACATTTCTTTCTGAGCGGTTCCTTATTCTCAAAGCAATACATTGTAAAATATCAAATTTCTTTCTGACTAGACCCTTATACCCAAAACAATACATTGTAAAATATCAAATTTCTTTCTGACTAGACCCTTATACTCAAAACAATACATTGTAAAATATCAAATTTCTTTCTGATTAGTCCGTTATTCCCAAAATAATATATTGTCAAGTATAACATTATTTTCTGATTAGTCCGTTATTCCCAAAGTAAAGCACTGTAAAATATATATATATAACTTCTTCGGGACAGTTTTTATTTCAAGAATATCTCCATTGAAGTAATTAACTTGTTAATTTAATACTAAACGTGGTGATCGAAGGCGATTTGTATTGTCTAATTTTTATACATCATAAGTTACTCAGGTATCGTAAAACTAAAAGTATCGCGAGTTTTTACCTTAGGCTTAGCCAAAGTATCGCGAATTTTCACCTTAGGCTTAGCCAAAGTATCGCGAGTTTTTACCTTAGGCTTAGCCAAAGTATCGCGAATTTTCACCTTAGGCTTAGCCAAAGTATCGCGAGTTTTTACCTTAGGCTTAGCCAGAGTATCGCGAGTTTTTACCTTAGGCTTAGCCATATACAAGGCAATACATTTTATACGATGTTGAAAAACCCGAGGAGTAAAAGCTATGATTTTTTATGTTTTGGAATTAAACAATTTTGTTAGTATTTATATTAAACGCAGAAGATTATTCAGATCACTTTCAATAAGTTGTAATCCTAACATAGTATCTACCTTTTTCTTTTTATATAGGCCGACAATTAACCAATGAAACAGAACTTAATAAATATTGCGCGCAGGTCAGTTCTTTCGATTTCAGTACTTGATCGGTATTTTGGCCATATGGGTCAGGATGCTTGACCTCTTTCACCCTCCTGATGAAAAGGGAAGAACAATGATGTCAAACGAATATGCATCCTCATTCATCATGATTTATTTTTTGAAATCGACGTCTTTTAGTCTCAAAACTAGGTGTTGTGGTCTTTCTTTTATGGGCCTGGCATGGCCATATGGCTAGGGCGCTCGACTTGCACTCTGTGGGTCGCAGGTTCGAATCCCCGTCCCACTAAACATGCTCGCCCTTTCAGCTGTGGGGGCGTTATAATGTGACCTTCAATCCCACTATTCGTTGGTAAAAAAGTAGCCCAAGAGTTGGCGGTTGGTGGTGATGACTAGCTGCCTTCCCTCTAGTCTTATACTGCTAAATTAGGGACGGCTAGCGCATATAGCCCTCGTGTAGCTTTGCGCGAAATTAAAACAAACAAACTTTCTTTTATGTATTACGTTATGACTTTTTGTGAAAAATATGTACGTGATGGAGAAAAATAGATATCATTTTCGGATTCAGTGTACAGGAATCACTGTAGAACATGTACAAATATCAAGAGAATAAAACCATCGCAGGCCTGTGTTATTTGTAGAAGCACTCATTGCCTGATAAACTCTGTAAAAAAATAGCTCTTTTTTGTTTTCCCACGTGATTTCGTACAGGTTGTTTATATGACATGTCCAGTATACTTTGCTGTCAAATGTTATGCCAAGATATTTTGCTGAAGTTGCCACCTCTAAGAACATACCATTTAGGTAGAGCTTGGGACTTGTTCTGAGGTATGTTTTTTCTTTTGAGCTTTGAAAAACAGTTTGTGTCCTTGCGGGGTTGATAGGTATTCACCATTTATTGCACCAATCTTTAATTTGGAAAACCTGGAAGTTAGATGCTGCTATATCAGGGATATTAGAGCTGCTCCAGATATCCATATAATCCACAAACTGAGAGATAATACAATTGTTAGAAGTTTTAGTTAGTATATCATTATCATCTAGCTGCTCCAGATATCTATATAATCCACAAACTGGGAGATAATATAATATCTGAGAGATATTATATTAAACTGGGAGATAATATAATTTCCCTAATTTCGAAGTGATACACTACAGGGAAGACAACTAGTCAATACCATCCACCGCCAAATCGTGGGCTACTCTATCGAATAGTGGGATTTAACCGTCACTCATACAACGCACCCATGGTACCAAAGTGAAGAGCGCGATTTTTGTTTAGGTGGTAACGGGGTGTAAATTATGGAATCTCAGACCTAACGGGGTGTAAATTATGGAACCTCAGACCCACCGTGTGGTAGAGCTCTAGATTTCAGAGCCGGCGAGCCGGATTTGAATATCCCTCCCCCACACTTTAAGCTGTGGATGTGTTATAAGAGAGACAGCCAACTCCTGCTGACTGGCTGTCTTCCCTCTGGTCGATAGTTCAAAAATTAAAAGTGGCGGCATATAGCTTTAGAAGCTTTCTCATAAATACATTTACACCACATTACTGTTGTTGTTTTTTATAACACTTACACCACATTATGTTTTTTTTTATAACTCAAATACAATGTACGAATGAGGATTAAGTTTCTTGCATTTTTTCTGAAATAGTGTTAGTTCTTTTGATATACCAAGATCAGTAAAGGACATAACAAAACTTACACTTGAAATTCGTATTAGTTGACACGCCTGCCGTCCTCCTTGAATACGGAATCCCCAAGGCGATCCTCCTGTAAGTGTAACACGGAAATGATTCTTCATTTTAAAGAATGTCGAGTTCACGTTAGTTCAAATACGTCATTAAAGACAAGTATTTGTGTTGTGAAACACTTTCAATTCCAAAAACATTGACTTCTAAGAGAAAATTATAAAACCTCGTTTCTTTTTCCTTTTTTTTTGTACAAATAATATTCTTCTTCTGCTAGCTTCTTTAAAAATCACAAAAAGGATTAACTGATTAAGTCCACTTTTGCTTTTAATTAAATATTCGAAATTCGTCGGATGACGCGCACGAAAACGTAGGCTAAATAATTTTTTTCACTCATAACTTGTTGTTATCTTCTTTTGGCATAAAGTCACAGCAATGTTGACAGAAATACATTTTTAGGATTTTTTAGTTGTTTTTGTATTCAACTATGCCAGAACTAATTATATTTGATACTACTCAGACATGTTGACAGTTTGCCAAATAATGAGACTCAATTGTGATTGGTCGTTTTTTAAGAGCAGATTTCATAGCGCCATCTCTTAATATTTAACTAAACTACTGAAAAATTGCTAAAGTTAATTTAATCTTTTACCTATCAGCGGTTGTTGTTTTTTGACCAATAAAAACGTCTAGAAATTGAAATATTTTAATAATTAAATCTGCCACAAATCTGTTCACCCAAGATATATTAACAACCTATATATACGGTTGCCGGGTGTCATCGTGGGCCTTTTAGTAGGTGGTGGGACCCGGGGAATTATTTCCGGCCTCAATACCCTCTCGTGGGCCTGCCCATAGAGCCACGCTCTGGTATTGCACAGAATTCATTCAAGATTAATTAATATTCTATATAAATAACTTTGTAAAGCATTAGTTAAGTTTAAATAATCTTTCCTGAAATTATAAAACTGAGATTTTACTTGACGAATCTATACTACTTAGTATGATTATCAATATATATATCTAAAAATGGAGAAAAATGGAGACTATTATTTTTTAGTTTGCTCGAAATGTACAAATATGAAACTTTACACGACATATTACAATAACATTGTAAGTGAAAGTAGGCTTAAATGCTTAAAGGAGTATTGAAGTAGGTATCTATTACGTACAAAAAAAGTGCTTAATTAGGCTTAAGACATGAAAATTAAAACAGTCATTATCGCGCTGAATTAGGCTTAAGACATGAAAATTAAAACAGTCATTACCTGGAAATTAGTATGAAAAAATAACTTTATTTAACTCATATATTATTTCACTTTTTAATAACGTTTTGTATATTTTATTTTCGAAGGGACCTAATTAGATTAAAACATCAAACGCATAAAAGGATGACGGGAAGGTTTTTAGCCCGATACTCTATCTTTCAAAATACTGTTCTTTGAATGTATTTTACATATGCACTTGTTGTTTGTTATTAAACACAAAGCTACACAAAGGGTTATCTGTGTTTTTCCCACCACGGGTATCGAAATCCGGTTTCTAGTAGTATAATTCCGCAGATATACCACTACGTCACTGGAGAGGGGGCAATAAGTAACGTTAAAAGCTATCTAACTATTTTGCTCTTAATTTAGCAGTTTCTGAAAAATTATTTCATAAGATATAACTATTCCAGGACCACATGGAAAAGTCATGTAGAAGGAAAGCTGTTCACAAAATGACGGATATTTTGTGTAAAACTCAGAATGAAATATATATATGCAAATAAAGTAAAATTCAAGGTGATAAGAAATTTTTTGGAGTGGTTGACACTGATTCTATTACATTAAACTAGGTGTTCCATAAAGACAAACAGTCAGTTTTAAAATCATCGGCTAAAACAGGTGTTTAAAGTACCCAACTTTAGAATCGCATGAAATATAGATTGATAAAATATTAATATGTAGACTCACATGCCAACATCACTGACTGCGAAAAAATGAAACTACCTTGATATTTGAGGTTGTTAAAGTGAAATGAGTACTTGGGAAATTTTGAGTATGCATCTAGTTAGAGGTAGTTAAAGTGTTGGTCAAAAGATGGCGTTGTACAGAAGTTACAGAAAGATTGCTCTGAACACATTCTTCATACTCGCAATTACAGAAAGAAACAAAAACTCATTTTTGTCAATCTAACTCTAAGGTGGAAACACCTATTCGTTGGAAAGCGTTTTTAGTTTTTATAGTAATAGTAGGTTAATATTAATACAAACAAAACATACTGTTATTTATAGTGTGTGTGTGCCAAACTGAGGGAATCGTTGTTTGTTAACATCTGTTTGGAAGAATCTGTATGGCTGAGGATCGATCTCAGATTTTAGAATGATCAAAACTATCAGAGCTCAGTTTAACTGAAGTGGAATAATTATTTCTACATTTGCGCATTCTAATAAAAAAACTTCAAATAGAAAGTAGAATAATACAAGGAACTACAGTATAACCATACAAATAATGAAAAAAAGATGTATGTCGTTGGTTCAGACATGAGTTTTGGAGAGTTATAGAAAGACATTAGAGTGCACTGAAGTGTTAATTTTGAGCTCTACTTAAACTTCTCAAACGACTAGAGTTCATACAGGTATAAAACATGTTTGAATACAGGTCGGACTTTGAATTCGAGGTCCATGGCTTGTGTCCATTTGCTGCAAATTAGCGCTCCACATTTTGAGGGCGTGGGTGCGTTATAAATGTGACTGTCAAATCCTATTATTCGATTAGAGTTGGCGATGATTATTGTTGACTAGTTTCCTTCCATTTAGTCTAGCAGTTAAAAATTAGGGACATTTAGCGCAGATATCCCTTGTGTAGCTTTGCGCTAATGTTCGAAACAAACAAACTAATAAAACGTGGTGTTGATGTGTTGATTTCACACAATTTAGTAGATTGTTTGAATCGAAACCTCATCGTTTAATGGCCTTTATTTAGGTTTCTAGTTCTTTCGATCCAGTTTGCCAACAGTAGTGTATCAGGCTGACTATCTTCGTTTTGTTTTCATCTACTTAACATAGATCTGTAAATATATTTGATTATAAACAGCTAAATGCTATAAATATTTGACATGAACTATTTTAAAAATTCGAAGCTTATTCTTTAGCTTCTTTTCTTTTTACTACAACTAAAGAGAAATTTGTTTTCGCGAATTTTATCAATAGATAATTAAAGATGTTTGTTTAGTTCACAAATTGTATTAAACTATTTGAGGCGAGAATATAATTTTTATGGTTTGAACGCTTTTTCTAGGCTGGATAAACATGGCTATCATTAATTATAAATGCCATAAGACATTAGTATTAGGCCTGTTAGTATTTCTTTAACACCACATTCTTTATTCAGTCCATTCTTGTATAACTCGAAGGAACTGAATAACGAATGTGGTGTTAAAATAGCCTAATACTAATATCTTATGACAAATGTAATTAATTATAATCATGCTTTGTCAGCTTAACAGAAGCGTTCAAAACTATAGTAACTTTTATTGTAAGATATGCTTATTATAAAACTAGTGTTCCGACCACTAATGTATTTATTGTGACACAGTCGGCTTGATGAGCTCTGTATTTAGCGAAACGCGTCGTCAGCAATGGATATGTTGAACATAATGTGGTTAAAATACTATCATTATACACTCTTCTTCTTCTTGAAATTTATGAGGGCTTATAACGCTAAAACTCGGGTTTTGATACCCGCGGTGGACAGAGAATATATTGTGCAGCTTTGTGCTTAAAAAGCCGACTAGATAAATTCAAACCTACTAAAAATAACAACTTCTGCTTGAAACACCCTAAGGGACTGTATAAATAATGTGGTGTTGAAAATAAAATATAATTATTATTATTGTTTTATGACAAATATAATTAAGAATTTTATGTAGTTAGGACTACACGTATAGTTACAATACTCTTCACAGGTTTCAGGTTGACAAGTTACCGTAGTGTAGTAACAGTGATTTCCATTGGGTAAGAAACACTTGCCCCCTAGTGGCACAGTGGTAAGTCTGCGGACTTATAATGCTAGAAAACGGGTTTCGATACCCGTGGTGGGTACAACACAGATAGTCTATTGTATAGCCTTGTGCATAACTATAAACAAACAAACGGACAAGAAACACCTTCTAGTCACCTGTAGACTAGTATTAACTACTCTTAAAAATGTGTTCCAAAATTAGGTTTAACAGTAGAAGACTGGATTTTTTCAAGGCATAGCTAATGTACTGGATAAAATGTACCTATAGATACGATGACACTAGGACTGACTCTAAACAAGTTTAAATAGGCTACTTGCTTTTATCCACCCAGTTCTATATTTATGTTCCATCATTCAAAAACTGTTTGTTTTTGAATTTCGCGCAAAGCTACACGAGGGCTATCTGCGCTAGCCGTCCCTAATTTAGCAGTGTAAGACTAGAGGGAAGGCAGCTAGTCATCACCACCCACCGCCAACTCTTGGGCTACTCTTTTACCAACGAATAGTGGGATTGACCGTCACATTATAACGCCCCCACGGCTAAAAGGGCGAGCATGTTTGGATGGAACGGGGATTCGAACGCGCGACCCTCAGATTGCGAGTCGAGCGCCCTAATCACCTGGCCATGCCGAGCCTTCAAAAACTGAAAAACGAAAACAGAATCAGTTCGTTCCCCTTTAATTAGTAGCCGAAAAACTAACTGGTTTCATTGCTTTCATGTTTCCTTATTAAAAAAAAAAGCTTCGTTCCTTTTTCACGTTCTCTTATTTATAAACTGAAAAAAGAATCAGCTCGTTTGTCGTCATTTAGTAGCTGAAAAACTAACTGGTTCATTGCTTTCATGTTTCCTTATCAAAAAAACTTCGTTCCTTTTTCATGAACCATTATTTATAAACTGAAAAAGGAATCAGTTCGTTTGTCGTTATTCAGTAGCTGAAAAACTAACTGGTTCATTGCTTTCATGTTTCCTTATTAAAAAACTTCGTCCCTTTTCATGTTCTTCTATTTATAAACTGAAAAAGGAATCAGTTCGTTTGTCGTCATTTAGTAGCTGAAAAACTAACTGGTTCATTGCTTTCATGTTTCCTTATCAAAAAAACTTTGTTCCTTTTTCATGAACCATTATTTATAAACTGAAAAAGGAATCAGTTCGTTTGTCGTTATTCAGTAGCTGAAAAACTAACTGGTTCATTGCTTTCATGTTTCCTTATTAAAAAACTTCGTTTCTTTTCATGTTCTTTTATTTATAAACTGAAAAAGGAATTAGTTCATTTGTCGTTATTCAGTGGCTGAAAAACGAACAATGATCCTGAATCTCATTTCAGCCACCATAATAGTTTCTGATATCGTATCTATACATATATTTTATCCAGTAAACTAGCTATGCCTTGAAAAAATCCAGTCTTCTACTGTTAAACCTAATTTTGGAACACATTTTCAAGAGAATTCCGTTAAAAGTTCCGGCTAATAACTATTCATAATATTCTTGCTGCTGTTTTTTAGTGCAAAGCTGCACTGTGTTCACCACAGGGAATCAAACCGCGGATTTTAAAGTTGGAAATCCGTAAACTTACCGTTTATAATATTAACCCATGACATATATATTTTAATCAGACATTATAAATGATCAGTTCTCATTGAACGTTGAAATAAATTTGTGGAAATGACTTTAATGGAATAAGTTATTATTTTGATGTCCTGGAGAAATGATACTTAGTATACTTTCCAGATGCCATTGTAGAGTTTGATGGTATTATTGAAATGAAAGCAAACGGAATCCAATGATTTCATGAAAAGCGCTCCCCAGTGGCTCAGCTGTAAGTTTGGGGGGTTTATAACGCTAAAAATCGGATTTCGATACTTGCAATAAGCTCGGCACAGATAGTTCATGGTGTAACTTTGGGTTTAATAGCGAAGAAATAAAACAAAGCTATCCGACATAAGTGTTGTTTTAGAAATATAAAGGCATCATCGTTTTGCAAGAATTATACTATTGTGACTTACGTCAGTTTTTATGTGTGTTTTCCAAACATGTTAATTCATTATGCATTTATATTAGAAACAATCCTTTACATTATGTTTGTTTGTTTTTGAATTTCGCGCAAAGCTACACGAGGGCTATCTGCACTAGCCGTCCCTAATTTAGCAGTGTAAGACTAGAGGGAAGGCAGCTAGTCATCACCACTCACCGCCAACTCTTAGGCTATT